GCTTCTAATTATTTCGCCGCCTGGTTCTTTTCGCAAACAATTAATAAAACCGAGTAGCCCGCATTCGAAGTCTGCTTCTGAGACGAGAATTATCTCGGTATCTACACCAGTCTCGTTTTGCACTTTCATGATTGATTTCAGTTCATCTACCCATGAAAATTCGTAATTGTTCACCTGTACAATCCGCTGGTTTCTCGCAATATTTCGCGATTTTCTTAATAACAAAAGCTTTTTATTATTTATTTGTTTTTCCAGTATGATATCCAACTCATACGTTTTCAGGCATGAATAATCGTAGACCGCACCGGATTCCTCTAAAGTCAGTAGAAAACCCTGTGGCATTAACAGAGACAGCAACTGTTTATATAATTTTTTGCTATTTTTTGTAAAAATATCGAAACCCAGGATCATCAAACAATTCTCGTCCTTCGACAACTGAGTAATTTCCGTTGTAGAAACGTTGTGGGGCAAAAAAATATTTGGGAATTTCTCGCGGGTCGTCACGAGTTTAGTGTGATGTCGAATCAGCGGTAAATCATTTAAGATTTCACTAATAAGTGGAGAATTTAAATCTTCTGGTACCACTTTGTCACTGTCATCGACAAATTCGATAATTTTAACATTTATCATATTGCCACATTCGAGTGCAATGTGCATTGACATTCTTATTGCATCTTGCAACGACATAGTACCTAAATCACGATGAGCAACAAATTTGTATTCTTCAAGAACGGTATTAACTACTTTCTGTCGGCGAGATATAGGTGTGGCCACAGCACCACAAATTTCTATTCCTCCAGATATTATAGCGTCTAAAGACTTGTAACGACGAACAGAGAATTCTGCAACGTAGAGAATAAAATTTTTTGTCAGGCAATTGGCCGCATTGTATCACTTATTTTACTTACGTCTATCTTCAAGTGGATAATCCTGAATCATCTGTATGTGATATTTCGGATCGATAGTCAATTTGCGAATTCTTGTTGGAACAAATAGGCTTCTTGAATTCTGTCCTAAAATCATTATCTGTAACATACTGTCCATAAATGCCACCCAATTAGATGTCCATGAGATATGGCCGTTTGATCCAGTAACTGATGCGCTTTTTAATCCACGAAATGCACCAGCATATTTATAACCGCGAAGTCTTAATTCCTTATAAATGTCTTTTGCATTCATTTCTTCCTCATCATGGATATATTCGGCAAGATTAGCTGACATTTTTTCATTTTCAATATTGGTTGGAATTCGTACTGTTCCAGTAACAACAGCATTATCTCCTTCGATTATTTCGAACCTATTGCTACCTAGATATAGATGTAAATTCATTAAACGTAATATAATTTTATAAGAAATCAAAATTAATATAAATATGTCAATATGGAGCTGGACCTTACAAAAGCAGTTGACGTGTGAAAAGAAAAAAGATTCCGCGTTAAGATTAGTTATTCTCATATATTTTCTCTGTATATTTTTTACATTTTAATTATGGTATATATTGCGCCATAAAAGCGGCATATAAGCTTTAAAATCTAATTAAAAAATAAAAAACTCACCCTAGAAAATTAATTGTTTACGTAATAATATTACCTTCTTGGATCGAGAGAGTTAATTCGGTCTTATTTTGTTGTGATAGCACTGTAGCACGAATAAAATTAACGTCTTCAAATACAACTGGTGTATTGATATATTCTTGGTTTTTTAACAATGCGATCATTTCCCAGATATATAAAAGATATCCCATAGCAGGAAAAAAATTCTTTTCATTAACGACATGGCCTTTTAAATATGCAACTTCTTCATTAGATGTATTAATACTAACAACTATTTCCTTTTTGTCAATTATTTTTTTTTGACAACCTCGCATTACATACAAATTTTCTGAATGATCCCATCTGCAAACGTCATTAGAAATTATTATACAAT